TGAAAGAAGTGAGTACAAATAGGAAACCCTAATTGGGTTGTACCCCCTATGGGATACCCCACTATAGCCTACACAATAGTATAAGCTATATAGTTCTGACACACCCCCATAGGCAAAGTGGGGGAGAACAAGGGGTCACAAGACCAGTCAAGCAAAGCAAAGCAAAGCTCAGGGTGGATCACAAAGTCACCACACATTCCGAGCACAAGTTCAAGGCCACATGGCCAGTTCACATGCAAGATCATATATAGAGATATACAAGAGTCAAGTAAGCAAGAGCAAGAGTATATATAGGCGAAGGTACAAGCAAGGTCAAGAGGAGAGCAAGTGAGGCAAGACAGGCACAAGACCCAACTGCGTGCAACAACGCTGATGATCACAAGGCGCAAGTGCCTTGGTGAAGACATCAGCAGTGTTGGCCTCAGAGGCCACGTACGCAAGTCGCAACTGTCCACGCTGCTGTAGCTCACGAGCAAGAAAGTAGCGGAGAGCAATGTGCTTCGTTCTGTGCTCCAGTCTCTGCTCTCGACACAAGGCCAGCATGGCCTTGTTGTCTACGTACAGGACTGGAGGAGAACGAGGCTGCTCTCCAAGGTCGGTCAACAGGTAGGTGAGCCAGCGTAACTCCTGTGCAGCCATAGCCCCGGCGTAGATCTCAGCCTCACAACTGGAGCCGAGAACAGAAGACGAGCGGGTAGCCCGCCACGAAACAGAGCCGGAACCAAGGCTGAAGGTGTAACCCTGTGACGACCGCTGCGTAGCCTGGTCGTCAGCCCAAGAAGCGTCCGCGTGCCCAGTGAGGACCACTGGACTGCGCCCTCCAAGCACTAGCCCCATGCCCGACGTACTGCACAAGTAGCGCAACACCCTCTTCGCTGCAGCCATGTGCTCTGGTCGGTGTCTCCCAGGAGCAACATAGCGTGCGAGAATGCTAAGAGGGTATGCAAGGTCAGGTCGTGTGCAGGTCATCAGGTACATGAGGCAGCCAACAAGCTCTGCATATGGGCCACTCGACTCTACGGACTCATCCGAAGGCAGAGCTGAGAGCGAGTGGCGAGTAGGCAGAGGAGTGGCCTGAGGCGAGGAGTACGTGAAGCCGAAGCGCTGAAGGACCTGCTGCACCATGTGTGACTGAGTCAGGGTAATGGTGCGGCGTGCTCTGTCCCGGGTGATCTGCAAGCCAAGATAGCTGCGCAGTTCACCCAGGTCAGTGCACGTGTGTCTCTTCTGCAGCTCGGACTTCACGTAGGCGAGTCCAGCAGTGTCAGCTGTGGCAAAGACCAAGTCGTCGACGTACACGAGGATGTAGAACGGCGGCAGAGAGGTGTCGGTGCGCAGAAACAGCGACGGGTCGGCAGTAGAAGGAGCAAACCCAAGTGCCGCGAGCGTAGTCCTCAGTGTGTCGTGCCACTCACGTGGCGCCTGGCGGAGACCGTAGACTGGACGCCGGAGACTCCACTGGGTACCAGGAGGGAAAGACCCAGTGAAGCCAGGTGGGCGACGCAGCCAGATCTCCTCGTGCAGGCTGCCCTGCAAGAAAGCTGTGCTGAAGTCGAGAGAGTGCAGCTCGTAGTCACGGTGAGCAGCAACGTGCAGCAGGACCCGAAGAGTGGTCATCTTCGGGGTGGGGGAGAAGGTCTGAAAGTAGTCAACCCCCTGCCGCTGACTGAAGCCACGAGCCACGTAACGCGCCTTGAAGACAGGCGGAGAACCCGGCGGCCGCTTCACCCTGAAAATCCACATGCCACTGACGATGTTCGCCCCAGGGGGGGGAACAGCGTCAACGTAGGTGCCTGTGGACTTCCAGGAAGCCATCTCTGCATCCATAGCTGCCTGCCACTGAGAGGAGTAGGGACCCTCTATCGCCTCCGCGTAAGAGCGCGGAGTCGGGATGTCTGGTGCATCCGGGTCTCCCTCAGGGGCTAGCAGTACAGACGCGAGACGAGGTGAAGCGGCGGCTAGACACTGGAACTCCTCCTGCCTGTCCTCAAGGACGTCCGTGCCAAGGGCACACTCACCCCCGACGGACGGAGGACAGGCGGACTCAGACTCAGTGACAAGACGGGCAGCGTAGTCTAGACGACAGCGCGCAGCAAAGTCGACAAGCTCAGTGACAAGGGCAGACGCAGCAGACGACCCGAAGGAAGGGTCAGTGACAGCTGTAGCAAGGAGACGCGTGACAGTAGGACTGGCAGCACGAAGAGAGTCCGACTCCGGGTCGGCAAGAGCAGGAAGAGAGGAAGCAGGAGGAGAAGGCAAAGGGGCACGCAGAGGAGCAGTGGACGGACGCAGTGACATCCGGTGCGTGCCAGGAACAGGAGGAGGACGCTGACGCGACCCGCGACCACTAGCGCGCTCAGTACGAACAGGCGACACAGGACGAGACGCAGGCTCACGACGCTCAGTAAGACCTCCAGTCGGACCAGTGTAGGGAGACGGAGCAGGCAAAGGGGAGGCAGGCTGTAGCTGTGGCTGTGACCGGACAGGCTGCGGACCCTCTAAGGGAGGAGGAGGAGGAGGCGGAAGACCAAGAACCTGCTGCAGGAGCGGAACGAAGTAAGGTCGGGGCCGCGCGGCGACACCAGAAACAGCAGGAACAGTACCAGCAGCCCCGGCAGGAGTACCCACTCCAGCAGCACCTCCAGCAGCACCACCAGAAGCTCCAGAACCTCCAGCAGCAGCACCAGGAGCACTGTCAGTCGGACCGCCAACCGCAGGCTCAGCGCCAACACCCTCAGTAGCACCAGCTCCAGGAGAACTCTCAGACCCAGCAGCTCCAGCACCCACAGTACGAGCACCGGCGGGACGCGAGGCAGCAGTACCCTCTGCAGCCGAAGAACCACCAGCACCAGCAGCACACCTCCAGCGCCTGGCAAACCACTCACGCAGCTCCTGCGGGGAGAGTGGCTCCCGGCGAGACGAAGCACCCCCAGGCACAGCACCCCCAGGCTCAGCACCCCCAGGCACAGCACCCCCAGGCTCGGCACCTCCAGGCTCAGCACCCCCAGACGCAGCACCCCCAGGCTCAGCACCCCTAGGCACAGCACCCCAAGGCTCAGCACCCCCAGGCTCAGCACCCCCAGGCTCAGCACCCCCAGGCTCAGCACCCCCAGGCTCAGCACCCCCTGGCTCAGCACCCCCAGACTCCGCACCCCCAGGCTCAGCTCCCGCAGCAGCACCAGAGTCACCAGTGACCTCGAAAGGCTCGACCGCGTCTACCTGGGACACACTTGAAGGGGCAGGACCCTGAGGGGGGAGGGGGACTACCGGGGGGGGACCTGGTACCAGGAAGAGCGGGGGTGGGGGGAGGGACGGAGTGCGGTAGGGGAAGAGGCGGTAGTAGGGTACCGACTCGTCGAACGTGACGTCCTGGGAGGACAGAACACGTCGAGAGGTGGGGTGGTAAAACTGCCACCCAGGGGCGTCGGGGGGGAACCCCAGGAAGACGCAGGGAGAAGCACGAGGGGACAGCTTGTCCGCAGACAGGTCGCGAACAAACGCCCGAGATCCCCAGACCCGGAACGCCGACGCATCGCCAACCTTCCCCGTCCACAGCAGGGCTGGGGAGGTCTCCGGTCGAGAGACCCTGGGGTGGAGGTTGATCTGGTGCGCAGCGTACCTGACCGCAAACGGCCACAGAAAATGGGGAGCAGCCGCATGCATCATGGACGTACGAGCGACGTCCATGACCATGCCAATGCGGCGCTCAGCAATCCCATTCTGCTGTGGTGAGTCCGGAAGCGTGAAGGTCTGACGGATGCCTCGTGCACGACAGTAGGCACTCAGGAGGCCAGAGGAGAACTCTCCGCCTCTGTCCGAGTGCAGACGCAAAACAGGGAAGTCAGAGCCAAAGCTCCTCCGAAGCTGGAGACGAGCTGCGCGGATCCAGTCGATCAACACCGCAGTGACCTCACCCTTGCTGCGCAAGGGGAAGACTGTGGTGTAACGCGAGTAGTCGTCAACCACCAGCAGGAAGTAGCGCTCCTGACCCTGTCCACGGACGCGGGCTGGGCCCCACACGTCCATGTGAAGCGTCTGCAACGGGGCCTCTGTCGGAGGAAACTGGGAGGAGTGAGGGGCAGCACGCTGGCGCCCCTCGACACAGGGGACACAGGTAGGGCCAGGGCCCGGAGGAAGGGGAGGGAGAGACCGGGGAAGACCAGACACAAGGACTCGCGAGGCCATGCCTCTGAGCCGAAGCAGAGAGGGGTGGCCAAGGCGGTGGTGCCAGAGGAGGGTCTCGTGAGACAGACGACGACACGAGCAAGGGGCAGACTCAGGACCAGACCTGGACGCTGCAGCAAACACCTGACCAGACGAAGGGACCCTACCAGACTCAGCACCTGGAGGAGAAGCAGTGGTCAGTGTGTACAGGCTCGACCCTGGCCGACGTGTAAACGTAGCCAGGTGGCGACCTGTATCCGCCTCCGTGCAGTGGGTCACCCGCTGACGAGCAGGGGTGAACTGGTGGACACCCGCATCCTGGAGGTCAGCACCACTCACCAAGTTCGTCGAGAACGAGGGGAGGTAGAGACCAGTCAGGGTGCCAGAGGGGGCCGCCGGACACGGGAGGACAGTGGAGAAGCGAGACAGGACAGGCCCCCCAGAGGGGTCAGCCAGGGACACCGCAACCGGCCGACTCAGCGGCGTGAGAGTGGTGCGGTCCCTAAAGAAGGAGCGAGACGCTCCAGAGTCAAGGGTGAAGGTGTGAGAGGCCGAAGCCGACACAGTACCTGAGAGGGCAGACTCACCAGCACCTGAGAGCACAGACGCACTGGCACCTAGAGCAGCAGCCTCACTAGTACCTGACGCGGCAGTACCAATGCCCGGGTCGGGCGGGAAACACCGGTAACAGTCATCCTCATCACTACCAGTCACAGCATACATAGCAGAGAGAATAGCATCAAAATCAAGATCATAAATAGCTACACCAGCCCTAGACAGCTCTCCCCAGCGGGGGATCTCAGCGGCCTCCGGAAACTGCTGACGCCAGGCGTCGGTCAGGCGGCCAAAGCAGCGGCGGGCTGTGTGGGCGCCTCCACACCTCTCCCCTGCACGGTCACCTGTGCGAAGAACGTAGGGGCAGGGACCAAGCGCACCACCACGCTGACGCTGCAAGTACCACTCACGGAGCTGCTGAGGGCCGGGGACGGTGCGAGAGCGCTGCTGCTGCTGTGGCTGCTGCTGCGGCTGCTGCTGTTGCTGCTGCTGCTGCTGGCGCTGACCACCCCCAGAGCTGCTCCGCTGGGACGAGCCACTCCGACCCCCGCCTCCACCGCCACCCCCGCCTCCACCGCCACCCCCGTCTCCACCGCCACCTCCCCCACCAGGACCGTCGCTCCCACCGCTCCCACCGCCTCCTCCGCTACCACCTCCGCCGCCACCTCCGCCTCCACCGCCGCCACCAGTACCTCCACTCCCGCCACCACCCCCACCGCCACCCCCACTCCCCCCGCCACCCCCACCGCCTCCTCCACCGCCCCCTCGAGCTCCACCCGCTCCCCTGCCCCCCTTGCTCTTGCCAGAGCGGCGTCTGCCGCTGGGGGCAGACGCCGCGCCGACCGACTCAAAACCAGTGAGGTCGGCCGCAGCGGCAGAGGCGACAGAGGGCAGCAGGGGGGAAGGACCACACCCCTCAAAGATGGGGGTGCGAGGGTCACCCCGAGAGGCCCCTACAGCGACAATACTCTTCTCAGCCGCTAGCAGGGACTCCTCAAGGAGGTCGACAGTGAGAGTGGTGGGACAGACAGAGAGAAACTGGTCCCTAACGACACGAAGGGACTCAGGGAGACGGGTGACGAGAAAGTAGAGGGTGATGTACATGGGAGGAGGGTTCGCAGCGCGGAACTCAGCAGGAAGGGCAGCGCGGTAGCGGGTGTCACTAGCACGGAGGTGGGTAACGAGGTCAGCGACAGTGGGAAAGGAAGCGAGGTCAGGGAAGAGAAACGGTAGCATGAGGCGGCTAAGGGTAGCGGAGGAAGGGGAGGAGTAGCGTGCAACTACAGCGTCGTACAAGGCCTGAGCGGACTTGCACTGACTAAAGTGGGCACGCTCAGAGGAAGGGAGGTGGCGACGCACAGCAAGACGTGCAGCAGCATCGCGGGTCGCCCACTTGGAGCGAACGGCAGAGTCAGCATCAGCAGGTGGGGCAGGAACAGCGCCAGAGACAAAGTCAAAAAGAGAGACCTCATCTATCGCATCACACAGTAAGTACAGCTGCAGGTCTTCAATCCAGACGGCAAAGTCAATGGCCCTCCCCTCAGCGTCAAAAGTAAGAACATTGGGGGTGGCCATGGCAGCAGCTGGAAGTCTCACCGGGCTGGGAGAGTCGGGTAGGTCAGCAGCAGAAGAACACAGCTCAGGAACAGCAGCACGGCGGCTCGGGCGGCTCGGGCGGCTCGGGCGGCTCGGGCGGTTCGGGCGGCTCGGGCGGCGGCTCGGTCGCAGCTCAGCGGCGGCTCGGGCGGCGGCGGCTCGGCGGCGGCTCGGCTGCTGCTGGGCGGCTGGGCGGCGGCCCGGGCGGCTCCGGCTCGGCGGCGCAGGCGGCGGCGGCTCGGCGGCGGCCCGGGCGGCGGCTCAGGCGGCGGCGGCTCGGCGGCGGCTCGGCTGCTGCTGGGCGGCTCGGCGGGGCCGCGGAGCAGAGGGCGGCGGTGCCGCGTAGGAGAGGGCGGCGGGGCCGCGTAGCAGAGGGCGGCGGGGCCGCGTAGCAGAGGGCGGCGGAGCCGCGTAGCAGAGGGCGGCGGGGCCGCGATCGAGGGGCGGCAGGGCCGCGTAGCAGAAGGCGGCGGGGCCGCGTAGCTGAGGGCGGCAGGGCCGCGACGTAGGGCGGCGGGCGGGCCTTCGAAGTAGGGCGGCGGGCGGGCCGGGACGTAGGGCGGCGGGGCCGCGACGTAGGGCGGCGGGCGGGCCGTCGAAGTAGGGCGGCGGGCGGGCCGGGACGTAGGGCGGCGGGGCCGCGACGTAGGGCGGCGGGCGGGCCGTCGAAGTAGGGCGGCGGGCCACGACGTAGGGCGGCGGGGCCGTCGAAGTAGGGCGGCGGGCAGGCCGCGACTTAGGGCGGCGAGGCCGCGCGATAGGGCGGCGGGGCCGCAAGGTAGGGCGGCTCGACAGGCCGCTAGGGAGGGCGACACGACGGGTCGCTAAAAAAAAGGACGCGCGCCTCGGGGCGCGCTTCGGTGGGCCCAAGAAACAGTCCCTAGTAGGGGACCTGCTCTGATTCCATGTGAAAAAGAGAACGAGAATGGAATGACTATGAAAGAAGTGAGTACAAATAGGAAACCCTAATTGGGTTGTACCCCCTATGGGATACCCCACTATAGCCTACACAATAGTATAAGCTATATAGTTCTGACAATATGCATTAGATTCCTTTCGAACCTTATTAGCTCACTAGATTTATATATTTCCCACCTTCTGATCGAGTGAGACTGCTAGATTCCCTCTACTTTTTGAGAAATGAGCGTTTACGTTCTCCTTGGCCCTACTTGCACTATAAGTGCGAAATGCCGACCAGACTGGCCGATGCACAATTTTCTCTACACATGTGCGTTAGTTACCTTTCAAACCCTTACGTTCACTAGATGAATTTATTTCCTACCTTCTATTTGAGTGAGACCACTAGATTCCGTGTACTATGCGAGATCTGAGCGCTTCCGTTCTCCCTGGCATTTGCACTCTAAGTTCCCATACTGACCGACCTGGCCAATGCACCATTTTCCATATATATTTGCACTAGATTCCTTTCGAACCTTATTAGCTCACTAGATTTATATATTTCCTACCTTCTGATCGAGTGAGACCGCTAGATTCCCTCTAATTTTTGAGAAATGAGCGTTTCCGTTCTCCTTGGCCCTAGTTGCACTATAAGTGCGAAATGCCGGCCAGACTGGCCGATGCACAATTTTCTCTACACATGTGCGTTAGTTACCTTTCAAACCCTTACGTTCACTAGATGAATATATTTCATACTTTCTATTTGAGTGAGACCACTTGATTCCGTGTACTATGCGACATCTGAGCGCTTCCGTTCTCCCTGGCATTTGCATTTTAAGTTCCGATTCTGACCGACCTGGCCAATGCACCATTTTCTCTATACATGTGCGTTGAATACATTTCAAACCTTTTTAGCTGACTAGATTTATATATTTCCCACCTTCTGATCGAGTGAGACCGTTAGATTCCCTCTAGTTTTTGAGAAACGAGCGTTTCCGTTCTCCCTGGCCCCACCTGCACTATGAGTGCGAAATGCCGGCCAGACTGGCCAATGCACCATTTTCTCTACACATGTGCGTTAGTTACCTTTCAAACCCTTACGTTCACTAGATGAATATATTTCCTACCTTATATTTGAGTGAGACCACTAGATTCTGTGTATTATGCGAGATCTGAGCGGTTCCGTTCTCCCATGCATTTGCACTCTAACTTCCCATACTGACCGACCTGGCCAATGCACCACTTTCCATATACATATGCATTAGATTCCTTCCGAACCTCATTAGCTCACTAGATTTATATATTTCCCACCTTTTGATTGAGTAAGACCGCTAGATTCTCTCTACTTTTTGAGAAATAAGCGTTTCCGTTCTCCTTGGCCCTACTTGCACTATAAGTGCGAAATGCCGGCCAGACTGGCCGATGCACCATTTTCTCTACACATGTGCGTTAGTTACCTTTCAAACCCTTACGTTCACTAGATGAATTTATTTCCTACCTTCTATTTGAGTGAGACCACTAGATTCCGTGTACTATGCGAGATCTGAGCGCTTCCGTTCTCCCTGGCATTTGTACTCTAAGTTCCATACTGACCGAACTGGCCAATGCACCATTTTCCATATACATATGCATTAGATTCCTTTCGAACCTTATTAGCTCACTAGATTTATATATTTCCCACCTTCTAATCGAGTGAGACCGCTAGATTCCCTTTACTTTTTGAGAAATGAGCGTTTCTGTTCTCCTTGGCCCTACTTGCACTATAAGTTCGAAATGCCGGCCAGACTGGCCGATGCACCATTTTCTCTACACATGTGCGTTAGTTACCTTTCAAACCCTTACGTTCACTAGATGAATTTATTTTCTACCTTGTATTTGAGTGAGACCAGTAGATTCCGTGTACTATGCGAGATCTGAGCGCTTTCGTTCTCCCTGGCATTTGCACTCTAAGTTCCCATAGTGACCGACCTGGCCAATGCACCATTTTCCATATACATATGCATTAGATTCCTTTCGAACCTTATTAGCTCACTAGATTTATATATTTCCCACCTTCTGATCGAGTGAGACCGCTAGATTCCCTCTACTTTTTCAGAAATGAGCGTTTCCGTTCTCCTTGGCCCTACTTGCACTATAAGTGCGAAATGCCGGCCAGACTGGCCGATGCACCATTTTCTCTACACATGTGCGTTAGTTACCTTTCAAACCCTTACGTTCACTAGATGAATATATTTCCTACTTTCTATTTGAGTGAGACCACTTGATTCCGTGTACTATGCGAGATCTGAGCGCTTCCGTTCTCCTTGGCATTTGCATTTTAAGTTCCGATACTGACCGACCTGGCCAATGCACCAAATTTCTCTATACATGTGCGTTGAATACATTTCAAACCTTTTTAGCTGACTAGATTTATATATTTCCCACCTTTTGATCGAGTGAGACCGTTAGATTCCCTCTACTTTTTGAGAAACGAGCGTTTCCGTTCTCCCTGGCCCCACCTGCACTATGAGTGCGAAATGCCGGCCAGACTGGCCGATGCACCAATTTCTCTACACATGTGCGGTAGTTACCTTTCAAACCCTTACGTTCACTAGATGAATATATTTCCTACTGTGAGAAGTGTAAGCAGGAAATGAGAATGACTAAGTCAGAGTTGGGTACAAATACAACCCTAGAAAGCTGTACCCCATATGTGCTACCCCACTATAGCCTACAAACATGCATCAGCTATGATAATCTGACACACCCCCATAGGCAAAGTGGGGGAGAACAAGGGGTCACAAAACCAGTCAAGCAAAGCAAAGCAAAGCAAGCTCAGGGTGGATCACAAAGTCACCACACAGTCCGAGCACAAGAGCAGGGCCAGAGGCCAGTTCACATGCAGGAGGACAGACATATATATAAAAACTAGACAAGCAAGAGCAGGTATATATATATGTCACAGTACAAGTGAAGTCAAGAGGAGAGCAAGTGAGGCAAGACAGGCACAAGACCCAGCTGGGTGCAAAAGCGCTGATGGTCACAAGGCGCGAGTGCCTTGGTGAACACATCAGAAGTGTTGGCCTCAGAGGCCACGTACGCAAGTCGCAACTGACCACGCTGCTGCAGCTCACGAGCAAGGAAGTAGCGGAGAGCAATGTGCTTCGTTCTGTGCTCCAAGCGCTGCTCTCGACACAAGGCTAGCATGGCCTTGTTGTCTACGTACAGCACTGGAGGAGAACGAGGCAGCTCTCCAAGGTCAGTCAGCAGGTAGGTGAGCCAGCGAAGCTCCTGTGCAGCCATGGCCCCGGCGTAGATCTCAGCCTCACAACTGGAGCCGAGAACTGAAGACGAGCGAGTAGACCGCCACGAGACAGAGCCGAAACCAAGGCTGAAGGTGTAACCCTGTGACGACCACTGCGTAGCCTGGTCGTCAGCCCAAGAAGCGTCCGCGTGGCCTGCAAGGACCACTGGACTCCGCCCTCCAAGCACTAGCCCCATGCCCGACGTACTGCACAGGTAGCGCAATACCCTCTTCGCTGCAGCCATGTGCTCTGGTCGGTGTCTCCCAGGAGCAACACAGCGTGCAAGAATGCTCAGGGGGTATGCAAGGTCAGGTCGTGTGCAGGTCATCAGGTACATGAGGCAGCCAACAAGCTCTGCATACGGACCACTCGACTCTACGGACTCATCCGAAGGCAGAGCTGAGAGTGAGTGGCGAGTAGGCAGAGGAGTGGCCTGAGGCGAGGAGTACGTGAAGCCGAAGCGCTGAAGGACCTGCTGCACCATGTGTGACTGAGTCAAGGTAATGGTGCGGCGTGCTCTGTCCCGAGTGATCTGCAAGCCAAGGTAGCTGCGCAGTTCACCCAGGTCTGTGCACGTGTGTCTCTTCAGCAGCTCGGACTTCACGTAGGCGAGTCCAGCAGTGTCCGCTGTGGCAAAGACCAAGTCGTCGACGTACACGAGGATGTAGAACGGCGGCAGGGAAGTGTCGGTGCAAAGAAACAGCGACGGGTCAGCAGTAGAAGGAGCAAACCCAAGAGCCGCAAGCGTAGTCCTCAGTGTGTCGTGCCACTCACGCGGTGCCTGGCGGAGACCGTAGACTGGCCGTCGGAGGCTCCACTGGGTGCCAGGAGGGAAAGTCCCAGTGAAGCCAGGCGGACGGCGCAGCCAGATCTGCTCGTGCAGGCTACCCTGCAGGAACGCAGTGCTGAAGTCGAGAGAGTGAAGCTCGTAGTCGCGCTGAGCGGCTATGTGCAGCAGCACCCGAAGAGTAGTCATCTTCGGGGTGGGAGAGAAGGTCTGAAAGTAGTCAACTCCCTGCCGCTGACTGAAGCCACGAGCAACGTACCGTGCCTTGAAGACAGGTGGAGAGCCCGGCGGCCGCTTCACCCTGAAGATCCACATGCCACTGACGATGTTCGCCCCAGGAGGGGGAACCGCGTCAACATAGGTGCCTGTGGACTTCCAGGAAGCCATCTCTGCATCCATAGCTGCCTGCCACTGAGAGGAGTAGGGACCCTCTACGGCCTCCACGTAAGAACGCGGAGTCGGGATGTCTAGTGCATCCGGGTCTCCCTCAGGGGCAAGCAGTACAGACGCGAGATGAGGTGAAGCAGCCGCTAGACACTGTAACTCCTCCTGCCTGTCCTCTAGGACGTCCGTGCCAAGAGCACACTCACCCCCGACGGACGGAGGACAGACAGACTCAGCAACAAGACTAGCAGCGTAGTCGAGACGACAGCGGGCAGCAAAGTCAACGAGCTCAGCGACTAGAGCAGACGCAGCAGTGGACTCAAAAGAGGGGTCAGTGACGACAGTAGCAAGCAGACGCGTGACAGTAGGACTGGCAGCGCGAAGAGAGTCCGACTCAGGGTCGGCAAGCGCAGGAAGAGAGGACTCAGGAGGAGAAGGCAAAGGGGCACGCAGAGGAGCAGTGGACGGACGCAGAGACATCCGGAGCGTGCCAGGGACAGGAGGAGGACGCTGACGCGAACTGCGACCACTAGCGCGAGAAGCACGAACAGGCGACGCGGGACGAGACGCAGGCTCACGACGCTCAGCAAGACCTCCAGTAGGACCAGTGTAAGGAGAGGGAGCAGGCAGTGGAGAGGAAGGCTCCAGTAGGGACTGCGACTGGACAGGCGGTGGACCCTCTACTGGAGGAGAAAGACCAAGAACCTGCTGTAGGAGCGGAACGAAGTACGGCCGAGGCCGCGCGGCAGCTCCAGACTCAGCAGGGACAGCACCAGCACCCTCAGCTACAGCACCAGCGCCACCCACACCTCCAGCGGCAGGACCAACAGCACGAACGCCCTCAGCAGCTCCAGCTCCAGGAGGACCCGCACGTCCAGCAGCTCCGGGACCGGCAGCACCCGCCACCCTCGACGGTCGAAGAAGCTCCAGCTCCAGCTCCAGCAGCACCTCCAGACTCAGCAGCACGCCTCCAGCGGCGAGCGAACCACTCGCGCAGCTCCTGTGGAGAGAGGGGCTCCCGGCGAGACGCAGCAGTAGGAGAAACCCCAGGCTCAGCAGCTCCAGACGCAGCACCCCCAGCTCAGCAGCTCCCAGCTCAGCACCCCCAGGCTCAGCAGCTCCCGACCCAGCACCCCCAGACCCAGCACCTCCAGGCACAGCACCCCCCCGGCTCAGCACCCCCAGGCTCCGCACCCTCAGGAGTAGCACCCTCAGGCCCAGCACCCCCACCAGTAGCACCCCCAGGCTCAGCACCCCCGCGCACAGCACCCCCAGAGTCAGCACCCCCAGGCTCAGCACCCGCAGCAGCACCAGAGTCACCAGTAACCTCGACCGGGTCAACGGCGTCTACCTGGGACACACCTGAGGGGGCAGGAACCTGAGGGGGGAGGGGGTCTACCGGGGGGGGAACCGGCACAAGGAAGTCCGGGGGAGGGGGGAGGGAAGGAGTGCGGTAGGGGAAGAGACGGTAGAAGGGGACTGACTCGTCGAACGTGACGTCCTGGGAGGACAGAACACGACGAGAGGAGGGGTGGTAAAACTGCCACCCTGGGGCGTCAGTGGGGAAGCCAAGGAAGACACAGGGAGCAGCACGAGGGGACAGCTTGTCCGCAGACAAGTCGCGGACAAACGCCCGAGATCCCCCAGACACGGAACACAGACGCATCGCCAACCTTCCCCGTCCACAGCAAGACTGGGGACATCGCAGGCCGAGAGACCCGGGGGTGAAGGTTGAGCTGATGCGCCGCGTACCTCACCGCAAACGGCCACAGAAAATGGGGGGCAGCCGCATGCATCATGGACGTACGAGCGACATCCATGACCATGCCAATGCGGCGCTCAGCAATCCCATTTTGCTGTGGTGAGTCCGGAAGGGTGAAGGTCTGGCAGATCCCCCGTGCCCGACAGTAGTCCCGCAGAAGGCGAGAAGAGAACTCTCCGCCTCTGTCAGAGTGCAGACGCAGAACAGGAAAGTCCGAGCCGAAGCTCTTCCTGAGCTGGAGACGAGCCTCGCGGATCCAGTCGATCAGCACCTCAGTGACCGCACCCTTGCTGCGCAAGGGGAGGACTGTGGTGTAACGCGAGTAGTCGTCAACCACCAACAGGAAGTAGCGCTCGTAACCCTGCCCACGGACGGGGGCTGGGCCCCACACATCCATGTGAAGCGTCTGCAGGGGAGCCTCTGTCGGGGGGAAGTGGGAGGAGTGAGGAGTAGCCCGGAGGCGACCCTCGACACAGGGGACACAGGAAGGTCCTGGCCCGGAGGGGAGAGGAGGGAGAGACTGGGGAAGACCAGAGACAAGGACACGGGAAGCCATGCTCCGAAGACGGGGCAAGGAGGGGTGGCCAAGACGGTGGTGCCACAGGAGAGTCTCGTGAGACAGGAGGCGACAAGAACAGGGGGCAGACTCAGGACCTGACCGGGACGCAGCAGCAAGTACCTGACCCGACGCAGCCACCTGACCAGACGCAGGGACAGGAGGAGACTCAACGGTCAGGGTGTAGAGACTCGACCCCGGCCGACGCGAGAACGTGGCCAGGTGTCGGCCTGTGCGTGCCTCCGTGCAGTGGGTCACCCCGCTGACTCGCAGGAGTGAACTGGTGAACACCCCCATCCTGCAGGTCCGCTCCACTAACCAAGTTCGTGGAGAACGAGGGAAGGTACAGACCCGACAGGGTGCCCGAAGGGGCAGCCGGACACGGGAGGACAGTGGAGAAGTGAGACAGGACAGGACCTCCAGAGGGGTCAGCAAGGGAGACTGCAACCGGCCGGCCGAGCGGCGTAAGGGTAGTGCGGTCTCGAAAGAAGGAGCGAGAAGCTCCGGAGTCAAGTGTGAAAGTGAGGGAGGACGAGGACGACGCAGTACTTGAGAGCGCAGTCTCACCAGTACCTGAGAGCGCAGACGCACTGGCACCTAGAGCAGCAGCCTCACAAGCACCTAGCGCAGCAGTACCAATGCCCGGGTCGGGCCGGGAAACAACGGTAACCCTCATTCTCCTCACTATAATCCACAACATACATAGCAGTAAGGATAGCATCAAAATCAAGATCAAAGATCGCTACACCAGCCCTGAGAAGCTCATCCCAGCGAGGGATCTCACTAGCCCCAGGGAACTGCTGACGCCAGGCGTCCGTCAGGCAGCCAAAGCAGCGCTGGGTGGCTGTGGGCACCCCCACACTTGCTCACCCGCGCGGTCGCCGGAACGAAGAACGTAGGTGCAGGGACCAGTACCCCCACCCCTCTGACGCCCAGCGTACCACTCACGAAGCTGCTGAGGCGAAGGGATGTCCCGCGAGCGCTGCTTGCTGCTGCCGGGTGCGAGCGCTGGCCACCACCACCACCAGCTACGCTGCTGGGGTACCACCCCGACCAGCTCCACCTCCTCCACCACCACTGCCTCCTCCGCTGCCGCCTCCACCGCCTCCACCTCCGCCGCCTCCACCTCCGCCGCTGCCTCCACCACCACCGCTGGCTCCACCACCACCGTCTCCGCCGCTGCTGCCACCACCACCACCCACCACCTCCGCCACTAGTCCCGCCGCCACCCCCACTCCCCTCCGCCGCCACCCGCCGCCACCGCCACCGCCCCCTCCAGCTCCACCCGCGCCCTTGCCCCCCTTGCCCTTGCTGGAGCGACGTCCTCCCACTAGGGGCAGACGCCGCGCCGACCGACTCAAGACCAAGCAGGTCGGCAGCAGCAGCAGAGGCAACAGAGGGCAGCAAGGGGGAAGGAGAGCACCCCTCAAAGATGGGGGTGCGAGGGTCACCACGAGAAGCACCTACAGCGACTATGCTCTTCTCCGCTGCAAGGAGGGCCTTCTCGAGGAGGTCGACGGTGAGGGGTGGTGGGACAGACTGCGAGAAAGTGGTCCCTGACGACGCGAAGGGAGTCAGGGAGGTGCGCGACTACGTAGTAGAGAGCGATGTACATGGGGGGGGGGGGGTTCTTAGCGCAGAACTCAGCAGGAAGGGCGGCGCGTGGTAGCGAGTGTCACTAGTGCGGAGGTGCGTAATGAGGTCAGCGACAGTGGGAAAGGCAGAGAGGTCAGGAAAGAGGTAGGGAAGCATGAGACGGCTCAGTGCAGCAAGTGGCAGGGGAGGAGTAGCGCGCAAATACAGCGTCGTACAAGGTCTGAGCACTCTTGTACTGACTAAAGTGCGCACGCTCAGAGGTAGGGAGGTGGCGACGCACAGCAAGACGTGCAGCAGCATCGCGCGGTGGCCCACTTAGAGCGGACAGCGGGATCAGCACGTCAGCAGCAGGAGCAGGAGAGGCGCCAGAGGTGAGGTCCAAAGAGAGAAAGGTCGTCAGCCCTGTCGCACTGTAAGAACAGCTGCAGGTCGTCTAACCAGACTCAAAATCAATGGCGCGACCTCAGCGTCAAAAGCTAGGACACTAGGGGTAGCCATGGCGACGACAGCGACGCAGTGCAAGCAGTAGGGAAAGAGCTCGCGCAGTGGCAGTGGGGACTGTGTCTCCAGGCAGGGCAGGTCGAGTAGGTATGCAGAAAGGCGGCTCAGCGACCTGGCGGCTCGGGTGCTGGGCGGCTCGGCTCCCGGGCGGCTGGGAGCGGCAGGGGCAGCTCGGGGGCAGGGCGGCTCGGACTCACCGGGCGGCTCGGCGACAGGGCGGCTCGGGG